AAGTCAGAATTATTCACCCTCCTATGAATATATATATTTTTCACTTTAAAATATTTTCCAAATAATGTTAAACAGCGCAAGAAATTGTTTACAGTATTTTCTACAATAATTTTTTTTCTGGAGAAAGTCATTTGTTTTATTTCCGCAAGAAGTTTTTAATTTTTGAAAAGCCATTTTAAGGTCCATATTATTAGTCCCCTTAAGCAATATATATTTTTGATTGTCTACGGAACAAACCATTGTTATACAATGACTTGCGTTATTACCCTAACCCTAACTGGCGTCATGCTCCTATTAGTCAGATGTTTTACTCTCTCACTAACAGTGGTCTTTGGGTTGTCAGGTATGCATTCCGGAATCAATGTCCATTAAGAAATGATTCGGTTTTCGTTTTGTTCATGAGAAAGAAATTTATGAAAGTAGCCATAAAAAATCACACCTAAATTGTTGTAATATACTTCGCAAGATTTTCCAAATATAGCTGTTGTCTAGCCTGTCATAACTGAGTGACTATCAGACGATCATTTGGATCAACTCCAAGTTTAAAACACGTCATTTCAAGTAAGCTAAAAAAACTAAAAATATTATTAAGATTGTTTAATTTGTTCAATGACGCGTATCATTTCAGTGCAGCTTGTACAATTGTTTTATTGAATTAAATTTTATCGTTTACACATATAAAAGTTATTTCTTTTCACATTATCAGTTTGAGATAACTCCAGTCTTGTTTTGAAATCTGCCGCTATGCTGACACACATGCATTTCTAGCTCTGCCCTCCTTTGAAAAGAGCACAAACTCATTTGAATTTAAAGCGACAGTCACCAAACAGCACAATTAGCATCAAAAATCGTCATAAACACACTGAAGAGACATTTTACATCTTGTAAAAATTGGGGTATATAGGTCCCCTTTAAGATAGTTCAAATAGTTTCAGCAATTTGAGATATGAATGTTTGATATGAGGGTTTACACGGTGACTCAGTGGTTAGCACTGTCACCTCACAGCAAGAAGATCACTGGTTTGAGCCATGGCTGCGTCAGTTGGCTTTTCTGTATGGAGTTTGCAAGTTCTCCCCATGTTGGTGTGGGTTTCCTCTACAGAGGATGTCCAAACACATCCTCTGTAGGTGAACTGAATAAGCTTAATTGGCCGTACTGTATGAGTTTGTGTGAATGTGAGAATTTATGGGTGTTTCTTTGTTCTGGGTTGCGGCTGGAAGGACATCCGCTGCTTAAAACATATGCTGGAATAGTTGCCGGTTCATTCCGCTGTTGTGACCCTTGATAAATGAAGGCACTAAGCCGAAAGAAAATGAATAAATGTTTAAAGTTTTATTTATAAAAATATTGTATAATATATATTTGAATGACACAAGGAAAAATTGACATTTCTTTGTGAATTTTATATTCGTTTTAATAGAAACAAACTTTGTATAAATTACACATTGCATTTAATGTATTTTAAAAGGTTGGTATAGAGTGCCATGATTGTCTGCACAATATTTTTTTGCGCCATATTAAAGATCCCTGGCTCCTTTTACCTTTAAATTGTGTGGGATAACCGCAACACTGGCATGCTCCTCCTACTACCACTAGGTGCTGCTAGCTTTTCACATCTGAGCTCGCACAACTAATACTGGGAGCTGCTTTCTTTTTCCTTTCCCCTGCTGTTTTAATGGTTCCCTACAGATGCATTTTGGGATGATGGGATGAATTCAAATAAGTCTTGTTTATCGGTGAAAAAATAAATGTAACATGGTGTTGTTGCAATTATTATTATTGAAAAATAGATATAATAAATTTAAATTAGAATATATTATATTCTACTATTACAATATATAATATAGTATATCGCAGATATCTATATACAGAAATTAAACTTGATTTATATCATTTATATGCTTTAAACACATATATAAACTGCAATTTATGCATATAAACCAAAGATATATGATTATAATATAAAGCAAATCAAATCATTTATTTTAAGTATGCATCGAACATTAATGTTCCTGCATGGATTTATGCATTTAACCATGCACTTGCATTTAATCATGTTAAATGATTAATCACATACAACAAACAAGTTTATATAAATAACCAGATACTTTTACACTGTTAACATTTTTCTGTAGAATGTACAGTAACATACTGGCAGCATTTCACCAGTAACTTACTCTAAATTAATTACAGCAAAAGTACAGTATTTACCATTTATCTTGCCGTATGTTTTTACAGTATTGCATATCTTTACTGTTAAATATACAGTAATTTTCACAATGCAACATTTAAAAAAACAGTAAATACCGCACAACTGTCCTACAGTAAAACACAATTCATATTACAGTTAAATGCTGTTTAATTTATGAAAATCACTAACAGTGTATATAAAATTATATATGGAATAAGTGTATATAAGTATAAATGAGTATAAACATTTTAAAGTATATGCATGTATGTGTGTGCACTTTTATTTACATATACACAGTATATTTATGCATTTATTGTGCATATATTATATATACATAAACTTTTATTTTATTAGTCTTCATGATTAATTATTAAACACAGGGTGTCTGCGGGGTCTTAAAAAATGTCCTAGATTTCAAAATCTAAATTTTAGGCCTTAAAAAGTCTTAAATTGACTGAAATATTGTCTTGTAGGTCTAAAATCCTTTTAAATGGGTCTTAACTCTCCTCTGTTTATGCTACCCAATCAATCCAGCACATATCCAGTCACCAACAATTACTCAATAAAACTTTTAGAGCAGTCTGTTGTGCATACATTTAGTTTTTAAAACGTTTTTTATGTTGTTAATTAAAAATATAAGTATATAACTGCTTGTCTTGACACATTATTTAAAATATGTAGCTGAGAAATGACTAAATAGAATTATAGGCAAATCATATTAGATTGGGATCATGGACCATTAAAAAACGTTAGCGTTTAGTCCTATATAAGTCTGAAATTTCATTCTTCACGGTCTTAAAAGGTCTTAAATTTGACTTTGTGAGACCAGCAGAAACCCTGTAAATAGCACCACTTTTATACATGCGGGCAGTCTGGAGAAAACTAGCATACTGACATCTCCAAAAATGTTCAAATGCCCTAACAGACACACACGTGAGCCGTACAGCTGTGTCCGTGCTGGTGTGCTGACCTCAGAGTGAAGGACAGATTCACTCCACCAGTAGGTTGTTAAAGATTAGGATGTGATGCCAAGCCTGACCTGAGCCACAGGTTAATCTCTGGCTGCCGTCCTGGAATAGAAGCTCTGGATAAAAGCCTGACAGAGGTGGCCTTTCAAACACTGCTTCACAAACTCTCTGCCTGTTCACATACAGCTGACAAGAACAAACATATATTGCAAATGATTTCTAAACTTTCCATTTTGATTTTGGTTAAAGAAGTTATCCATTTTGACTCTGGTTTTGTTTTATTTTTAATTGTTAAAATGTTATATGCATAATGTAACACCATATCTGTATTTTTCTTGTGTTCTACTTTTCAAAGTTGCTATAATATTTTATTGTTAACTGTTTTTGAAATCGGGGCGATGCGGTGGGGTATATGTAGTGCTGTCGCCTCACAGCAGGAAGGTCGCTGGTTCGAGCCTCGGCTGGGTCAGTTGGCGTTTCTGTGTGGAGTTTGCATGTTCTCCTCGTGTTCGTGTGGGTTTTCTCCGAGTGCTCCGGTTTCTCCCACAGTCCAAAGATATGTGGTACAGGTGAATTGGGTAGGTTAAACTGTCCGTAGTGTAAAAGTGTGCATGCCCGTAGCCAGGGGGGTTCGCTGGTTTGCAAGACCCACCCCTCACTGACAAAGGTCCAGGATTTGTCCCATACATGAGCTCATTTGTCCTATTTTGACTGCTACCCATCGAAAAAGGCTTTAGACCAAGTGGAATCCTTGTGTGACTTCAGATAATTAGTTTTCACCAATGCAAACAATTATTTTACAAGAGTCCAAAATCTAGCTGTGCAAGGAAACATCTGACATAAGCAAAGTCATCTTTCCCTACTGTATTGTTTTTAAACAAATATAAATATACATTTGACAAATATGTTTTATTCTAAATCTTGGACCTTAATCTAGAAAGAAAACATGTGTGAAGCACTGAAAACAGCCCATATTAAAATCAATTGGAATACCATTTTGGCTATTGTTGTTATCTATGAACTTTCAAATGTAGTAAAAAAGCTAAATGTGTCTCTAAATTATTATTATTATTATTATATATTTTTTTATTATTCAAATGGCCAAATTCTGACTGTTAATTGTTAATTGTGCTGGCCAGTTTGTTATTTGGCTATAAATTCTAATAGGCTACAGTTTTTAATTTAAATATTTTTTTTTCTAATGATATATATGATGTAATACATTTGTATTTTAAAAACAAACATTTATCATATTTCATTATTTTAAATATTTTGAAAATAGTTTTGGTTATGATGACCATTCAACAAGCTAAATCAGCTAAAAATGGTGTTTAAAATGTCACCTAAATTCAGTATTTAAATCTCATAATTAAATAGAAAATAGGCGAATAACTGCAAAAAAGTCCACTTTTTGAGAAAAAAGAACAACCCCTTTCACCTGGCTGGCTACGGGCCTGGTGTGTATGGATGTTTCCCAGAGATAGGTTGCAGCTGGAAGGGCATCCGCTGCGTAAAACATGCGCTGGATAAGTTGGTGGTTCATTTTGCTGTGGTGACATCGGATTAATAAAGAGAATAAGCTGAAAAGAAAATGAATAAACGTTTTTAAAATCAATGATAAAAAAAAACTGAGGTAGCCTAAATTAAATACATCAAAAAACATTTCTGGCCTGATAAGTTGGAGGAGTTTTTTTTTCTTTGTAAAATTAAACGGCTTTAGTTTAAACTTTAACCAAAAGATTTAGCTTTCATCAACTTTAATGCAAGTTCCACTACTTAGCAACACTGTAGGTGGTTGGTTTAGCCTAATTACCGGGATGACGCTTGATGAGGAGGAGGAGGAAGAGGAGGAGAAGGACAGACGCGCTGCTCCTCCCACGAGCTTTCAGATCCGATGGATTTACTCGCAGATCTTCACTGAATGTCTCCGGTGAATCACAATCCTCTAAACACAACCTGCTATAACCGAAAATATTCACATGAACCATCTCCCGCTAGGAGACCGTGCCAGCCCGACAGGATTCAAAGCGCTGCGCACTTACGACCAGGAACTTTTATGTAGTTTTTGTTGACTTCCCACACACCTTGATGCTTTGAGTGGGTTGAAGGACTGTTTACCGTCTTAATAACGTGACAGAGAAACGACAACACAGTTTCAAAGGACAATACTGGAGGAAAAGAGCTGAAGTACGTTAGCCTACCTGCGTTGATCACCTTGCCGACTAGAAGGTGAGTCTGGTTAAGTAGCCTGTACTTAATCATGTTTACTATTATACAGACTTGTGAAATTGAGGTAAATTTTGCTTTTATATTTGTTCAGTGACAACTAGTGACATGCTCCCTCGTGGTACTTTGAATATTGGGTTTGAAATCACATGACTTGAAAACAACATCGGCACTATTTATTTGACTTTGATCAATGATGTAGGCTACTTTGATGGTCATTGGCTGCTAATAATTTCACTTTTGGAAATTTCCAAATAATATTTTATTTGTAAAATTACATTATTAAGGAGAAAATGCGAATATGTTAATATAAAACCAGCTCAATACATAAGAAGTACTTTTAAATTTAGACTTCTGATTTATATAGCCTACTAGGTGTGTGTTTTATGATTTAGGGTATCATAATCATAAGTTATCCATATTTATTTAAAACGTTAGGAGAGAGCGGAGACGGAAGTTATATTTTTTTTTATAAAAATCTCATTTTAAAAGATAATGTTTTTGTCAATATATTTTAACTCATAAGTGTTGTCCCTGCTGAAAAATCCAGCTTAAACCAGCCCTGGATGGTTGGCTGGTTTTAGTGGGACAGGCTGGGAGATGACAAGCTAAAACCAGCTTGACCAGCCTAGCCAGGCTGGGAGCCCAGCCAAAACCAGCTATGTCCAGTCTAAACCAGCATGGTCAGGCTGGTTTTAGATGGTTTTAGCTGGTCACTTTCCAGCCTGAGCAGCTAAGACCAGGCTGTAAATGGCTGGAAACCAGCCTGGAAGTGGCCAAAACCCCTCTAAAACCAGGCTGGTCGACCAGCTCAAACCAGCCAACCATCCTAGGCTGGTTTAAGCTGGATGTTTCAGCAGGGGTGTTTTGAACAAATGTAGAACAACTTCAATAAGACTTCACTTTAAACATAAACTGCACATTGTAACTTTTAACCCATCAGTATGGATGAAAGTAACACACGGGTGGTGAAGTAACAACAATGTTCGATTTGCTGGCTTAATCTTCATTAATTTTCTTTTCGTGTTTGTCATTTTATTAATCTGGGGTTGCCACAGCGAAATGAACCGCCAGCAGAACAGAACTTTCCAGCATATGTTTTTACGCAGCGGATGCCCTTCCAGCTGCAACCCATCACTGGGAAAGGCTTAATCTTGTTTATTTATATCGTTTTTAATGTTCACTGCAAACATATCTTGTCCTCTATTTTTGCAAAAAAAAATGTTTAATGGCATTTTCATTTTAAATTTCAGCTCCATCAAATGTTTTAAAAGCAATCCAACAATGCAGAACGTAAAAACTTTCTAAAATTTTAAATATTTTTATTAATATTGGCAGTATGCATTAATTTTATTGAAACACAATAAATAAAACAGAAAACTCTAATGTGGAAGTGAAAAGGTTTGTCTGTTAGCGTTCATTCACTCATTCATTTTCTTTTCGGCTTAGTCCCTATATTAATTTGGGGTCGCCACAGTGGAATGAACCACCAACTTATCCAGCATATGTTTTACGCGGGGGATGCTCTTCCTGCTGCAACCCATCTCTGGGAAACTGTCTGTTAGCAGTGGGACATAAATAACAGTGCTACTTTTGTCCCCACAGGAACTCTTGCCATTTAAACCTGATTCACTTTTAAACTGAAAAATTCTGACTTGAGGATGTGTTATTTTACTAAATAACCTGTAGGTTGATCATTAGTGTGATGCATGAAATAAAAAAAAAGCACAGCTACAGTAATTTACTTTCTTCACTTACAAACAGAAATTTGGAGCTAACTGTAGTCCCGAAATCAGCTGATATTTAGCAGGGTTGCATGCTGAATGTGCTGCCTGGAAAGCAAATGTTGTCAGGGCTTTGAGAAAATCAATTTGTTACTTCTGTCCCATGTTACCTTCGTCTCCACTCTCCTCTTCTGTCTCTTTGACTTTTCAATGTTAGAATAAAGTCAGTGAAATATATGAAAGTGTCATGGTATTGTAATTATGTTGAATTATGTTTTATCGCGTCTGTTCAAACAAAATTACTTCATTTTAACCCAAGAGAAAACATAAAACATTAAAACATGAAACTATGTTATTGGTATCAAAATGCCCTCAAAATGGTTAGCTTACTACACGTTTACTAGAGTAAAAACAAGTTTAGGAGCGGAATTTTTATTAGAAAAGTTTTAATTACCGAATTTATAGCTTGTATATTTTGCAAAATCACAGTTTTGTCAGTGTTTGAATTCTAACACAAATATTTTCAGGTCACTCTAAAGCTCAAAAATGTAAAATAATACTTTTCATGGTCGAGATATATATTGTGTGTATATATATATATATATATATATATATATATATATATATATATATATATATATATATATATATATATATATATATATATATACACACATACATACATACAGGGTTCAATGCTAAGGATTTTTTCAACTGGCCCGATTGGACCAGTGGTTCAGATTTTCACTTGCTCTGCCAAAATTTTCACTGGCCTCGCTAAAAAAAAATTAAAAATTAATTGCTATTTATTAGCCACATATATTAAATAATGTGTCACAAAATAATGTATGTGAATGCAGAATTTATATGTTTGAAAAATGTTAAAATATTTAGCAGTAAAATGTAGTATGGAAACTGTGCAGGTATTTTATTGCAAAACAAAAGGTGGCTGACTTAAAAGTGACAGCAAACTATACAAAACATCACTTCATTTTTTTTTCATGTTGTACTCATTTAAATTAGAAACAGGCGTTTTCTTTTAGCCTCATAATTTGATGTTGCGGTCATGTTGCCGTCTATTAAAATTTTGTGACAAGGCAGCACTGCCCCGATCGGGCCAGTAAAGATTTTGTCTACTGTCCCGAGCATCTCTCACGCTGGCCCTGGGCCATCAAGTAGTCCTAATTGTTGAGCCCTGATATATACAGTTGAAGTCAGAATTATTAGCCTCCTTGTTTATTTTTTCCCCCAATTTCTGTGTAACAGAGAGAAGATTTTTTTCAGCACATTTCTAAACATAATAGTTTTAATTACTCATCTCTAATACATGATTTATTTTATCTTTGCCATGATGACAGTAAATAATATTTTTAAACATTGACTTTTAAAGGATTAATTAGGTTAATTAGTCTCACTAGGCAGGTTAGGGTAATTAGCCAAGTTATTGTATAATGATGGTTTGTTCTGTAGAGTATTAAAAAAAATTGCTTAAAGGGGCTAATAATATTGACCTTAAAATGGTTTTAAAAAATTAATAACTGCTTTTACTCTAGCCGAAATAAAACAAATAAGGCTTTCTCCAGAGGAAAAAAACATAATCAGACATACTGTGAAAATGTTCTTGCTCTGTTGTTCAACATCATTTGGGAAATATAAAAAAATAATAATAATAATTCAAAGGGGGCTAATAATTCTGACTTCAACTGTATATGCATTCATTTGAGCAAAAGAAAAATGCATTATAGGCTTTCATTTTGTGTTTCATACATCTCATACAGCCCTATTAACTGCCAGTCATTTATGTTGTTTCCAAAATCCAAAAAACGGTGGCGCAGTGGGAAGCAGAATCGCCTCACAGCAAGAAGGTCGCTGCCTCGCTGGTTTAATCCCCGACTGGGTCAGTTGGCATTTCTGTGTGGAGTTTGCATGTTCTCCCCATTTTCGTGTGGGTTTCCTCCGGGTTCTCTGGTTTCCCTCACAGTCCAAACACATGCACTATTGATGAATTGAACAAGCTAAGTTGTCGGTAGTGTATGTGTGTGAATTAGAGTGTATGGGTGTTTCCCAGTCATGGGTTGCAGCTGGAAGGGCAACCGCTGCGTAAAACGTATGCTGAATAAGTTGGCGGTTCATTCTGCTGTGTAGAAATCTGATTAATAAAGAGACTAAGCCGAAAGGAAAATGAATGAATGAATGAATGTTAAGGAAAGTGAAAAGTCCAAGAAAGAGAAGACCATCAGTAGGTTAAAACTAAATTGTTGAGAAAAGAAACCGAGTCAACCAGATAGAGGTTTTGGATCTTTTATCTTCTGCTGACTGCAGTTCATAATAGGCCATTTCAGGTCCCCTGAGAGATTATTGCCCGAATTCACCTTTATTCTTGTGTCAGCAGTAATGCTCTGGTGCAGATACGGTCTTCGTATCACATTACGCTCATGCAACGGCATCTACGTCAGGTACCATCATTAAACGCTCATCACAACAACCGACCGTGTTTAACATCCAAACTGTGAGATTGTTGTTCCTCAGAGCAGGTGAGAAGCTGCCAAAACAAAAGGCGCACACGAAGAGAGATAAATGAGGTTGTCTTTGCTCACATTATCTCCGAAAAGTCCACAGAGGGCCCACCGGAGGAGTGGGAATACAAAGGGCTTGTTTCATTAGAGGGAAAGTAAACCCTTCCTCCCTGTGGTGGATCCGTCAAACCTGCCGGATGATTTTTCCCACAGAAACTTCCCAGAAGTCATTTCAGCCATTCGTCAGCATGTCATCGCCGTTTTAATCAGCTGTACGGTGACTAAGAGTCTCTCTATTTTCAGACGTTTTGAATCATGTATGAGTCCTTGAATAGAAACGGCGTTCATTTTATGTTAATGTCCTTCTGCGAGTTAAATGAGAGCTTCTGGACTTGAATGCTGAGGTGAGAAATGTTGGATCACTGCATCTCACGTTTGAATTACGTCCTCGCATTATTTTACTCACTTTTCTTGCAATATTACAAAGCTGTATGTAGGGCTGCAACTAACGGTTATTTTAATAATCGATTAATCAGTTGATTATTTCTTCGGTTAATCGATGAATAAAAAACAAAAAAAAAAAACAAGAAAAGAATTAATTTCCAACCCTTTATTTAAAAAAGCTCATCCCTGAGCTGTTATAATAGTAAAAATAGAAAATAATAATAATAATAATAATAATAAAATAGAAAGCTAAGTAGTTTTGTCCTGTTTTTAATCCAAATATCTAAAAAAAAAGATCTTAAATCAAGACACATACTAG